TGTGTGCATATATGTGGGGGGTGAATGTGTGTGTGCATATATGTGGGGGGGTGAATGTGTGTGTGTGCATATATATGGGGAGTTAATGTATGCATATATATATATATATATATATATATATATATATATATATATATATGGGTGAGTGTGTGGAAGTGAGTGCATGTGTATGAGGCCAGAGGAGGACATTCAGTGTTGTTTTCTGTCACTGTGTTATTTCCTTGAGACAGGGTCTCCCACTGATACTGGAGGTAGGCTGGCATCCAGCAAACCCCAGTGATCTCCCTGTATCCACCTCTGATGGCACTGGAGTTAAAGACAAGTTTGTGGCCAGACCTGGCTTTTTATATGAATGCTTGGGGTTTGAACTCAGGTCCTCAGGCTTGTGCAGCAAGTTCTCTTCTCCACCAACCACCTCCTCAGCTCCAACAGATGCACATACAGCGTAGGAGCCTGTACGAAGTCCCAGTCAATTGTACTAATTTTCTGTAGTGGGAATATGTATGTGTTGGGATTATCTATCATAGTATAACAATGATTCTGAACATCAGGTGCTTCAAATCACCATTTTATTTGCCCAGGAAACTTTTGGTTATGAGTTGCAGCTAGGCTTGGCAGGCAGGTCTTCAGCTCCACGTGGGGTTGGAGACATGCTCTCATCTGGGAACTGGCTGGGCTAGTTAATTGAGAAGGTGTCCCTCCCATAGACGCTACACTCACTGGGCTTGCTTTTCTATGAAACTGGACTCTCTTGCAGCATGGTGGGCTCTGTGGTTGCTGACTACTAAGAGGGGCAAGAGTGATACATTAGTTACTTTTCTTGTTGCTTCAAGTCCCTGACAAAGGCAACTTAAAGAAGGGAGGGCTCACTGTGGTTCACAGTTTGAGAAGGATACAGTCGCCATAACAGGAGACTGCACAGTGTGCAGCCCACCACACTGTATCCACAGGCAGGAAGCAGAGAGAGGAATGTGTATGATACTTGGTTGGCTTTCTCCATTTCATTCTGTCCAAGTGTCTGTGGTACTGTCCCACCCATGTTCACGGAGAGTCTTCTCAGTTTCGTTAAACCTCCCCCGAACTCTTCCTCAGACACACCCAGAGGTGTGTCTCCTAGGTGACTCTAAATCCAATAAAGTTAACCTGAAGATGAACTATCACAAGCAGCGACTTCAGGCTCAGACTCTCAAGATACATAGCATCTTCAAAGCAAAACAAAACACACCGACAACATACTCTACTGGCAAAGGCCAGCCACATCCGAACAGGAAAAACAAACATCGTCTTTGTATGGGAAGAGTCTCACAGAGTTATGGTCATCTAACCTACTAAGGAAACAAAGAAAGGTAATAAACAGCACCAGTTGGGTTCAGTTAGATTTCTCACCAACTGAAATTTCCTGCGAACTTAAGAAACTCTTCCCTGAGGACTTCGGGTTGAACACAACTTAGAGCTGAGATCTGTAGGAATACAAAACGGAAGAACAAATCAGGAAGATGGGAGACTTGCTGTAAGGTTAGGGCATTTGCCACCAAGGCTGGGACCCAGGTAGCAGAAGGAAGAACTGATACCCTTGGGTTGTCCTCTGACCTCTAAACACATGCTTTGGCAGCCACACCCCAAATATGAATACAAAGTTAAAACAGCTAAGTGTCGGGGGTTCACATTTTCAATCCCATTCAGGAAGCAGAGGCAAGCAGACTGATAGGAATTCCAGAGTATGGGGCTGGAGAGATGGCTCAGTGTTTAAGAGCACTGACTGCTCTTCCAGAGGTCCTGAGTTCAATGCCCAGCAACCATATGGTGGCTCATAACCATCTGTAATGGGATCTGATGCCCTCTTCTGGTGTGTCTGAAGACAGCTACAGTGTACTCATATACATAAAAAATAAATAAATCTAAGAGAGAGAGAGAGAGAGAGAGAGAGAGAGAGAGAGAGAGAGAGAGATCCAGAGCAGCCTAGTCTTCATAGCTACATAGTAAGTTTCAGGCCAGCCTGAACTACACAGTGAGTCCCTGTCTCAAACAAAACTTCTAACTTCATCTGGGGCTGGAAACATAGCTTAGTTTAAAAAGTGCTTACTGCTCTTACAAAGAATTCTCAACTTTGGCCCTCCAACATCTATCCATATCAGATAGCTCATATCCAGGTGTTTTGATGCTTCTGGTCTCTAATGCACCAACACTCACATGAACACCACTCCTGACCAAACATACATAATTAAAAACTAAAAAAAATCTATTTAAAATTAAAAATTTTTAAAATTAAAACAAAAGACAAGCTATCATACCAGGCTCCAGGCATCCTCATTGGCACAAGTGCCAGGTGAGTTGGTCAAGAGTGGCCAAGTACCAAGGGATCCCAGATTTGCTCATAGTGGTTGTACAGTGAAGTTCTGGCTGCAGGGCCATATTACCCAGTGAGGAAATAAGACAGGGCCCTCTCATCATGAGGTTCAGAGTGTCTAGAAGTCAAGAGTAATTTAAATAATTTAGTGGATAATTTGTGGCCTTTGCCTGCTATCTAAAAAAAGACCATGGTACAGTCTCATT